TCTCAACTTAACATGATCTAGAATCATCTAGGGGACAAATGTCTGGGCATGTCTGTGGAGTTTCTAGATTGGGTTAACTGAAGTGGGAAGATTCACCCGAACCGTGTTCTAGTTTTATTCTGTTGCTATGATAAAACACTTTAACCAAAAGCAACTTGGGAAGGAAAGGGTTTATTTGGCTCACACGTCCAGGTCATAATCTATCATTGAAGGAAGTCTTGGCAGAAACTCAAAAGGGAACTGAATGAAGCCCAAACCACAGAGGAGCGCTGCTTACTGGATCACTCGCTGGCTCATGCTCAGCCAGCTTCCTCACACAATCCAGGTCCTGCCTAAGAGATAGTGCTGCCTACAATGAGCTTAGTCTTCCCACATCAATCATGACAATTCTTTACAGACAAGGCCACAGGTGAATCTGATCTGGTAAATCCCTCAATTGAGACTCCCTCAGATGACTCTAGGCTATGTCAAGTTGACAGCTAAAGCTAACTAGGACAAGGTGGGTGGCCTGGACTGAACAAAAAGGAGAGAGCTAGCTGAGTACTAGCATTCATCTCCCTCTACTTGCTGAGTATGGATACCATGAGACCAGCTGCTTTGTGATCCTACCATCATGTCTTTTTCACCATGATGGACTGTATCCCCTTGAACTGTAAACCAAAACAAAACTTTTCTTCCTTTACAGTCCTTCTTGTTAGGTATTTGGTAACAGGAACAGTATTAATAATATAACATGGTTATGAATTGAACCCAGGACCTTGCCCATGTTAGGCAAGCATTCTACCACTGAGCTGTAGTCCAGCCCCATACCTGCCTAGTCTCTATTTTAATTTTTTTTGTTTTATTTATGTGTATGAGGGTTTTGCCTGCATATACATAAATACATCTATGTCATGTAATGTCTACAGAGCTCAGGAGAGGGCATCAGATCCCCTAGAACTAGAATTACAGTTGTTAGGCTGCCCTGTGAGTGTTGGGAACCAAACAGGTTCTCTGCAAGAGCAGTCAGTGCTCTTAACCAATGAGTCATCTCTCCAACCCTCTGCCTAGTCATTAATCTCATATCAATGCTACAAGGCTCTTTTTTGCTATTTTTATTTCACAAATTATGAATGTGAGGCTGAGTGGTTAACAAAAGTATTCGGAATCAATCAGAAAAAAAAAAAAAAAACAAAAAAACAAAAAAAAAACGAAGCTGAGATGCAAACTCTGGGAATCTGCCTCCTAACATACAGCCTTACCTGAAAAAAGTCAAAACCATGGTTAAGACCCTCTTTACACGTAGCCAGTCACGACTGTGGGACCTGTGACAGAGACAGGGGACCCTGGTGGCCCTCCCAACACCAGCCTCAAGGGAAGCTATGAATTTCTGTACAGAAAGTAAAGGTGACCCCTAAAAAGAGCAGCTCAATTGCTACAGAAGCCAAACTATCCCGAAAAAAAGACCCAGTTAGCCCAGGGAATTTTTTTTTCCTTATCAGGTAATGGAATTGTTTTTACTAGCAAGAATGAGCTCATTACAGATGCAGCCTGTGCTAATAACAATAATTTGCTGAGCGGTAAAAATCACCTCTGTACACCTCCCCCAGCCGCCAGAAGATGCTTTGGAAATTATAGGCTAGGGAGAAGGAGAAAGGATAAAGATTAAGGAATGGAATTGCAATGCAGAACTGCTGAACAAAAGGAATCAGAGCTTTGCACCTTGAACTTGCTGATCTTCATCATGACTTGTAGAAGAATTAGAGACTGTTAAAGAGTTGAATTACCTCTATTTGGTTTCATTACCTCTCTCACTGGGTACTTTTGGGGGGGGGTGTTGGGGTTTTAGAGCTCAAGCTATTTTTTAAAAAGTGAAAAATGAAATTAAATATTGAAGCAGAATATGATTGGGGGAGGTGAATTTAATAAACATGCTAGTCTTGTTGCTTCCTTGATTTCATTGCAATCACCCTGCTAGTCCGAAACACCTGTGTGTAAATTGTGGTTTGGGAGAAGGGGTCAAGCAGACATACCTCCCATGTCATTCATCTCTGACCCTGATGGAGAAGCAGCAGTCTGAACCAGATGTGTTAGATCCCCCTGGAGCTGGAGTTACAGGCTATTGTGAGTCACCCAAGGTTGCTGTTGGAAACTGAACCCTCTGCAAGAGTAGCATGTGCTCTTAACTGTTGGGCCACGCTCCATTCCCAAAGTATATCACATTTTAAACCTTTTTTTGTTTGGTATTTTTGTTGTTGGTTGGTTTGAGATAGGGTCTCCTTGTAGCCCTAGATGGCCTAGAACTTGCTTTGTAGACCAGGCTGACCTCCATCTCACAGAGATCCATCTGTCTCTGGCTTCTGAGAGCTAGACTGGGATTAAAGATGTATGCCAACACACTGGGCTAAAACTTAATTTTTTTTGTATGTATGTGTGTTGAGGTCAAAGAACAACTTGTAGGTTCTGGGGATCAAACTGAGGTTGTTAAGGCTTGGCGGCAGGGACGTTTACCCACTGAGTCATCTCGCTGGCCCTAAAACATCTTTTGGCCAATTCTTCACCTCCAATCTCTCTGACTCTGTCTCTCTGAGAGATGGAGTTTCACATATTCCAGGCTGGACTCGAACTCACTTTGTAGCTGAGGATGACCTTGAACTTCTGATCCTCCTGCTCGGATTGCCAGGGACTGAATACAGCTGTCCACTCCTGGTTTATGTGGTGCTGGGGATCCTATCTAGGACTTCATGCTAAGCAAGAACTCTACCTTCTTAGTTACACCACCAGCCCTTCTTTTAAACAGTTGAAATTCAAGGCTTTTAAAGGTGATGTTTGTTTTGTTTTGTTTTTTCCTAATGACAGCAATACCTGTTGAGTGTGGAAAATGAGGAAAAGCACAAAGAAAAAAAACCAAGCGACCAATACCCTCATCATCCAAATGACCACAGTTGCATTATGGCTTGGCACCCCTCTTTTCTATTAAAGCACACGATTAGACAGTGCTGCTGCTGTGTAGGTTTATTACTATTGTAAGCCTTGTGGCCCTCCCTTTTCGTGTGCTGTATCCTCAATGTTTCCACAGCAGCATTCCAAGTGATGATCTGCACTGTAATTCTGAATCCTGTGAAAGTGGAATATTTCATTTTGTAGGACAATCGCCCGACTACATCTTTAACTGCTTTTCTGTTCAAGAGATCTTAACTATTTTGGGGGTCCCTCTGGCTGTGTAGTGAACTCCTGAAAAGGCCTCTTTTCAGAATAACAGTCTCAAGTGTTCAACAGCAAAACACGCCTAGCAAGTAAGTCCTCCTATGTTGAATAACAGTGTTAGAGGGTAGATGTCGAGGCTCTAAACAACTGTGCTGTCACCTGGCTTAGGTTGCACTTAATCGTAGAGCTCATCATGTCATGTGTACAACAAATTTCACATGATAGGGGCAAGAGTCAGGATTCCTGTGGGGCTGAGGGAACAGGACCAGCTGTCTGTTGCTCACATTGAAAACAAAGGAAATCTATATTCTGCTTAGAGGTCTGTGACCACAGAGATGGGAATTTTCCTCAAGACTTCTGCCCTCCCCGTCTACTCAAGGAACCCTAGGGGCCCAGGGAGTAGAGCCCACCCAGGCCAAAGTTCTTGCTGTGGGAGAAACTCCCAGCAGGCGCTGTGTCTTTGGGCTCCGTGAATGTCTGGGTTTTTTAATTCCCACGGCCTCCTTCCCCTCAGATCTACCTGATTTCTTTGGAGTGCTAAGAGCTGCCAAGTGATATCAGAGAGCCCACCTGTCAGGGGCAAGAGGCAGTAAGCCAGTCTTACTGGTTGAACAGTGTACTTTTGAAATGGCACACTGAAGTCCTAGTCCTTGCACCTCAAAATACAAGTGACTTGGAAATAGAGTCCCTGAGGGTGTGATTGGTTAAGATGACGTCAGGCTGGAGTACAGTGAGCTCCTAATCCAATGTGGTCAGTGTCCCTTTGAAGATAGCCATGTGTATACAGACACACAGGGGAATGCTGGGTGACCAGGAAGACAGAACTGAAGAGGCATGGTGTGGTTCGAATGTGAAATGTCCTCCATAGGCTCATGTGGTTCAACACTTCATCTCCAGTTGGTGACAGTTTTGGAATGTTATGGAACTTTTAGAAGGTGGAGTCTCACTAGAGGACATGTATTACTTGGGAGGAGGGAGGCCTTCAGGATTTATATAGCCCAGTCCTACTTCTTATCTTTTGTCTCCTGACTGCAAATGTGCTCTGACTAGCTACCTCAGGCTTCTGCCTGCCACGCTTTCCCCACCATGATGGACTCTAATTCCTCAAACTGTGAGCCAAAACAAATCCTTCCTCCCTTAAGTCACTTCTTCTCAAGTATCTGGTCCCAGCAACACAAAAAGTAATGGATACACATGGCAAAGGATGCTAACCTTACCACAGCCACCAGCAGGAGGAGGATGCAGGGAAGGGGTCCTTACAGGGTCCAGAGAAAGGCACTCTGCTAGCCAGCTCTGATTTGGACTTCCAGCCTCCAGAACTATGAGACAATATATTTATGTGTGGTGAATCCACCCTGTTGGATACTGTGTTTGAGCAGCCCTGGAAATGTCATATACCTGGTATCTACCAACAGGGTTTGGAATAGGATATCTGTGCCAGGGTTGGAGGTAGGCCATGCCAGGACCCAATATGGCTGACAGGGATGGACTGATTAGAATGCTCAACTGGATTTTCAAAACGCCTGGCCCAGTTTCACAAGGTTACCTTGGGGTTAGGAAGAGATGGCCCTGTCCTGGCCTTTCCCAAAATTAACATACTGAGACACCCCCTACACACACACACACACACACACACACAGACACACACACACAGACACACACACACACACACACACACACAAACATAGCAGGCTAAGAGTTATACTATCTATTCCTACAGGACAACAAAGATTATTGTGAATGACATATTATTGCCAGTGACTCAGGATACAGATACTTAAAGAATTCTTATTTAATCTCCTTAGTGCCCGAGAGTAGAAGGAGCTGGCTCTGATGCAAGTGCAGCATCTCTTTCTAGCTCTCTGCAAATTTCACTGAGGGCAGTGGCTCTCCATACACATTCCTGTTGCATGAGAGACTGGCCCACTGAACACAGCCACATGTTCCTGGAGGTCTAGCGTCTTCATGTGGGGGTCTTCCACCTGGAAGAGAAAGTCTCCACATGAGTTGCAGGTAGGTAACCCAGCTGAGCAGAGGCCTCTGTAAACATGATCTCCTTTTATAATACAAAGCAGTCAGAAGGAAACAGAGCCTCTTCTGCTTACCTGGCACAGAAGATTCTGGGTATGGGGTTGGGATCTCATGGTGTGGTGAAACTTTTGGATCAGAAGACTGTGTGGTGCTCACCCCATATATTCTAAAGTAAGCAAAAACATGAAGTTACTCCTTTTTTAAAAAAATGTATTTATTTGTATTTTATGTGTATGAAGTATTTTGCCTGCATGTATGTTAAGTGCGTCCATGCTGTGTAATGCTCACAGAGTCCAGAAGAGGGCATCTAATCCCCTAGACCTGGAGTTACTGTATAGAACCGTGTTAGCCACCATGTGGGTGCTGGAAACCATACGCAGGTTATATGCAAGGGCAGTGCAGCCAGTGCTCTTAATTACAGAGTCATCTTTCCAGCCCCAAGTTACTCCTTTAAATAAGAAATATAATATGCAGGTCCTGACCAAGCACAATGTGTTTGTTCTAATCCTTACAACTCATCCTAAACATTAGACTCCTCATCCCTATTTAACAGAAAAGTAAACCGAGACATGGGAGCTACCCTGTGCAGTGCTCCAGGGTCCCCTGCCATCTTCCTCCCTCAACATCTTTAGTTTTAGGCTGATGCTAGACAGGTGAACCTGTTGATTGTTGCTTCCAGGCCCTCCCTGCAAACCAGCAAAGACTATCCATGGTGCAGCAGGAGGCGCTATGGGATGTGGGGCAGACCGTGGTTGTCTGCTAGGAGACCCTGCAGAGACAAGTGAGGCTATTCTACACAGCAAACCAGATCCAGAGTCAAGACAAGACAGCTCTAGAGCTTGGATGGCGATGCCGGGGAGTCCCCACCAGCTCTGCTCTGCTCCCTGGATTCCACTGTGGGTGATGCGAGCTACACTTACTCCTCATACGGCTTCAGTCTTGCTCTCTTGGCCTGCTCCACGAGATCCAGGAAATCCTTGTAGCACTTTTTGGCCATGATGGTATATTTTGTGGCACAGCCATATTCAGTGACCCTGGCTCTGGGCACGTAGCCTGCCCAGCCAGGAATAGGGGGCTCGTGGAGCGGTTTCTTTATGCATTTGCATTCTGCAAGGAGACAGCAAGGGTCCTGAGGGTTTCAGAGCTGCACAGTGGGCGATATTCCCAAGCTCCCTGGCACAGCTTAACAGTTAACCCAGGAACCCCGAGGCCTGAACAAATAATAAGAGCAGCAACATGCTTAGTTGATTTGTGTTCCAGTACCTGGGAAGGGACTTTCTCATTCCCAAGCTCCCTGGCACAGCTTAACAGTTAACCCAGGAACCCCGAGGCCTGGGAAGGGACTTTCTCACGGCATCTCGTTTCATTCCCTTGGCAGGCTGACACCACTGTTACCTCTATGTGTACTGCCTCCTCAGCAAGTCCTGAGATACAGCCAGGAAGTATAGGGCCATGACCCCACCCAGCACTCTCTGATCCTAAGGCCTGCTCTTAGCCAGACCCTGCTCCTGTATCAGATGTAGGGAACTGATCAGACATCCCCCAGGGCTGCTTTATACCAGGGAGGGATTCAGAAGAGCCATGTCAGAGTCAGTACCAGAAGCTGCCTTTAGGTCCTGACAGTGACCATGGCTGGGTGACCTTGGATGGTCTGACTCTATCCACTGCCTCCTCTAAGTGTTGCAAGAATCAAATAAGGCCCCTGAGTCCCAGGATCCAAAGCTATAGGGCACCCTAGGGAGCATCTAGTCCATGCTTCTCTGCCATAGATGAACACACTGGAGCCCAGAAATGGGGAGCAGGTTGCTGTAGGGTACACAGCAAGCGCCATACAGATGGACTAATTTCCAAAACTTGGGCAGGGAGTCTGAAGTGTTTAGAATATTTTAAAGCCCAGCAAACATATAAATTATCATATATTCTGGAAAAGTCCCTGAACAATTTAGCAACAGCAAAAGCATCATTTGTGAATGTGTGTGTGCATTATTGTGCATGCATGCATGTATGCATGAGTATGCATGTATGTGCTGTTGTGCATGCATGTACATGTGGAAACCAAGAGATTAATGTTGAGTACCTTCTCGAGTGCTCTTCACTGTATTATACATTTTTGAGAATGTGTCTCTCACTCACTGTGGAGGTTGTCAATTTGGACATACTAATTGGCTAGCAAAGCCCCAGTGAGAGATCAGCCCCAGAGATCTTCTGTCTCTGCCTCTGCTGTGCTAGGATTACAGTCATGTACCACATGCCTAGCTTTTACATGGGTTTCGTGGGATCGAACTCAGGTCCTCATGCTTGTGTGGCACTCTATCAACTAAGCCATTCCCCAGCCCTCTATTACTTTTCCTATAGGCCTTTAGGCCTTCAAATAATCCAGGTCAAAAATCTCATCATATTATCACAGCAGCCTCTGTCATTACTGTTCAGTGTGAAACCTTTTCCCACAACATCTAGAAGAGCTGGATTCAGATCTAGGAGTGATTTCACACCCTGGCTGTCACTTCAGTCATATGACAGCACCTCTGGGAGAGCCTAACATGGGGATGACTGCCTCGCCCTCACAGAACAGCTGTGCCTGCTCAGGGTATGATGGTGTCCAAAGCAGCGAAAACTCCCAAAAATGGCACTCACAGATCTATAAGCTGATGTTTACAGTGCATCGTGACTTGTCTCAGGGCTCCTAGAGGTTCACTAAGTCCCCTCCTGGCTGCTCAGGATGGGGTCCCTTCCCCTAGGCATGCATTTTTCTTGCGTTGGTGTTGTGCTGGATTCAATGCTCTCTCTAGGTGCACCCTGGCCTGCTAGGGTCTGCACTTAGGGCCAGGGTTAAGGGAAGCTGGTTTGGGGGGACCTATACCCAGAGTCCAGGGGTGGTACTTCTGAGCATATTTATGTAGCTCCCGCAGGACCGTGTTCTCAGAACTGACAGGCTTCAGGGTCGGGGCGTTGGCCACCAAGCAGTTCAGTTCCTGCAGCTGGTCTTTGTATTGCTGTGTTCTCTCCTGGAAGGCTTTCACACAGTAGTCCATGTGGTCCTCGCTGGGGGTTCCCTGGCAGCTGAGCCACGGAATGAAGCCTGCAAGAGTGCAGGGAATCACACAGCCTGAGAGAGGCAGCCAGCTAGGGGCTGAGAGCCTGCCTCTCTGTACCCCACCACTGCAGCCTCTACTTGGCTCCCCTCCACTGCCAGCAAGTCTACATTTTTCCAAAGGCCATTAATTCAAGCAGTGCTGTTGTTCCCACCATGACTGGGCCCTCCCAAGGCTGCAAGAAAACGACCTTGGAGCTGGGGAGGGAAGGTCCGCTTCAACAAAAGCAATGACAGTCATACTCTTTGATAGCAAAGCCCCCGATGTCAGGCTGAACAGCATATGGGGAAAGCATTTAATGGGCCCAAATGATAGTCTGAGGAGTAATTGAAATTATTCATCTTTTTAGAGAGAAAGCTTATTTTCCTTGACACTTCCCAAATGCAATCTGGGATCTTTCTTGCCAGACCATAGGGAAATTGCAGGCCTATTAAAAGCAGAGACCTATTACACAAAAAAGTAAATTCATTATCTGCAAGACCCACCCCTAGGACAATTACAAAATAACATGTAATCATTACAATTAGTAAGGGTAAAACACAACTCTTTATTTAAACTGGATGCTGAATCCTAAGTACTATAATATTGTCACAATAAAACCATTTTTTTAAAGGAACAGATGAGGAAAACTGGTTAAGAACTTAGTTTTAAGCTGCAAAGTAAATAAATAAATAGTTCTCAGTCTTGATGACTACTGTTTTTGTCTTCACTCCTCAGGAAAGAAAACTTGGTTTGGTGGTTGAACACAGCTCCAACCTGTGTGCCCTGCAACAAGGCACCTTCAGGAAGACCCTAATGGGCTGACTTTGGCAGCGTTGAAGTCCTACACCCATCATCTATTATAATTTGGATGTTAAATGTGCCCCCACAGGCTCATGTGTTTGAAACCTGGTCCCCACTTGGTGGTGCTGTTTGGGGAACTGGGGAACCTTTAGGAGGTAGGGCCTAAATGAAATAAGTGGGTTGCTAGGAGGAGGGTTTTGAGGTTGATAGCCTAGCATCACTTCTTGCCCTCTCTCTGCTTCTTGGTCCGACAAAGTGTGAGGAGGCCTAGCCACATATTCCCACAGCCGTGCCTTCCCAGACATGATGGTTTGCACCCTCAAAATGGAAGCCAGAATAAACCCTTCCTCCCTTCAATTCCTTTTTATCAGGTACTTGGTCACAGCAACAAGAAACGTTAATACACCATCAAATTTCCCCAAGCCTTGCATAATCAAAATATGTCCTATAATGTCATGGAAACCCGAGGCCCTTTCTGAAGTGGCAACTCTGCCACCAGGTTCTACTTTGATCCATACAGATTTTATGTATGTGTTTATATGCACATTTACACCACTCATAGACCCAGTACTAGCAGTCACCTTACTGGATCTTGCCAAGGACCAGGACACTTAAAGGAGCATATATATGCCGGGTCCTTTAATCATTACAATAACCATAGAGAGGGCTCCATGTGATGGAGTACACTGGGTACCTCAAATGGATATATCCAAGCCCTTAACCCCTGATGCCTGTGAACATGCTACTTCTAGGAAACAGGGTCTTAGAAGATGTAATTAAGGACCTAGAAATGAGATCACTTTAGATTTATGGTGGTTCCCAAAGGCAATGACTGGTGTCTTTATAAGACAGAAAGGAAAGACTGGAGACCCTCAAACTTAGAGACAAGCATCACTTCAAGAATCAGGTGACCATGGAGGAGATCACTGGACTGATGCTACTTGAGCCAGAGCTCCTGGGAGCTACCAGCAGCTGAAAAGAGCAACAGAAGAGCACTGTGATTTTTAGACTTCTAGTCTCAAGGACTGGGAAATATTATGTTTCTACCATTTTAAATTATCTAGCTTATGGTAATTCCTAAGAGCATCTTGGGAAACAAATATCTCCATTTTAGAGTAAGCCCTTGGAACCAGGGATCTGGTTTATAACTGAAGTCCACTCTATCAGCCAGCTTTGAGTATGATGGTGGTGCTACCTCTCAGCCTCAACCCTTGAAAGTCATTCTTTTACACCCAAGGACTCTTGCACATGTGCAGTAAGTTGTTGAGACTGGAACCATTACTTACACAGTAGGGGAGTTACTTACAGTCATGTAGATAGTGGCCAAATATATAATGGTATATACTAAATCTAAGCTTGTTAGAACCCAAAACGTATTCTCTTGTCAAGTAGGACCAGGGTGAGGCTGGGCAACTTTGGAATACTGTCCAAGCATAGCCCCCTTCTGAGAACAGTTAGGTATGAAAATTAAGGGCCCACAGAAACCCACTGGATTTATCAATTATAAGGATTTCCCATAGTTCTCAGTATCTCAGAAGTCTGAGGAAGAGCTTTTAGTAATGGGAAACAGTTGCTTTAGTGTGCCAAGGACAGAGGCAAGGACAGGACCTTAAGTGCTACAACCAGGACAGTCACAGGAAAACCAGGACAGGTGGTCATTCAACCTTTAGATGATGTGAAAAAGAAGGAGAAACTAAGGACAACCCTGTGGGAGACTTGAAGAAGCCCAACTTGAGAAGGACAAAGCTCCAACTTACCTACCGCATGTGTCTATCTTCAATCATTATGTCTAGCCTAATCCACAATTCCACATGCATTAAATGCTTGCTGTGAATTAAATGCTTCCTATGTATCAGGCGACCAGGGTGAGGCTGGGCAACTTTGGAATACTGTCCAAGCATAGCCCCCTTCTGAGAACAGTTAGGTATGAAAATTAAGGGCCCACAGAAACCCACTGGATTTATCAATTATAAGGATTTCCCATAGTTCTCAGTATCTCAGAAGTCTGAGGAAGAGCTTTTAGTAATGGGAAACAGTTGCTTTAGTGTGCCAAGGACAGAGGCAAGGACAGGACCTTAAGTGCTACAACCAGGACAGTCACAGGAAAACCAGGACAGGTGGTCATTCAACCTTTAGATGATGTGAAAAAGAAGGAGAAACTAAGGACAACCCTGTGGGAGACTTGAAGAAGCCCAACCTTTAGATGATGTGAAAAAGAAGGAGAAACTAAGGACAACCCTGTGGGAGACTTGAAGAAGCCCAACTTGAGAAGGACAAAGCTCCAACTTACCTACCGCATGTGTCTATCTTCAATCATTATGTCTAGCCTAATCCACAATTCCACATGCATTAAATGCTTGCTGTGAATTAAATGCTTCCTATGTATCAGGCCATGCCCTGGCAGACTTCACCTAAGTATTTTCAATTATTCAAGCATAGCTATCAGCCTCGTACAGCATTAGGTGCTCTCCATGCGTCTTAAAAGCTGGAGTGCTTACACTGGCCCAGTTAGCCACGGACACAGACAGTGGGCCAAGACAGGGACAGAGACCTTAGTGTGTTCTGAGCACTGCCACTTACCACTGTATCCTGGTGTGATGGGTAGCTTTCTCATGAAGGTCTTGGAAGACTCCATGATTTCACTCTGTTAATGAAGGGAAGGGGGAATGAAATGGTTTCATCTAATACCAGCTATATAAAAAGCAAGACCCTTTCCCTCACCAGGGATCACCGGTGGTCTCCTCCAGTGGACCAGAGTGTGCATCTGAAGTCTGTGGCCCTTCTATGTCTTTTCTGCCAAGCCAGCTCATCTCTTTATAGTGATGCCTTTGTGGCCAGGAGCAGGGGCCTGAAGGGAGAGGAGAGCTGAGAATAGGAGTCGACCATCAGCAACTAGAGGTGTTAAAGCAGATCAGCACTACCACGCCAAGAGCAGTGGGAGCTGAATCACATCCAGACCCACCTAACCCCTGCCATCCTGTACCTGATGCCAGAGAGATGGGGCTGGTCTTAGAATCTGACAGACCTGGCTGAGAACCTAGATTCAACACACACTGACCATCTGCTGATTAAGAGTTGTTCTGTTTTCCATGTGGTAAGAACTAAACTCTCTCAATAGCTCTGTGACATAAATACTGCAGTACTATTATACCCATTTCCAGATAGGATTAAAAAGACAACAGACACTTATAGAATACCAGCTATGGGGCATGGCTGAAGGGAACTATCTTCTTAAGTGCTACAGTATTCCCAAGGGTCAGCATGTACTGGGGTCCCCAATAGACGAGAAAAACAAGGCATGGAGATTACTTTGGTGCAGGGCTCTGGAGTGAAAGGGGTATGAACAGATGTCTGCTAAATTCTCCGGGGTGGGGGTAGGGGTGGAGGTGGGAGGGGTATATTCTCCACCCCCTTTCCGCCTAGCCCCTGCTCTCACCTGGGCAGGCCTGAGCACCACCTGGCCTCCGCCCTGGCCTCCTGGCTTCCAGCCCTCTCTGGCCTTTGTGAGCTCACTCACAAAGCTAGGTCTGGGCAGATGCGGAATCCATCCGGGATCTTTGGAACCAGCCCTGCCCCCTACGCGAGAACCAGGGTGGGGGTGGGGAGGTGGACAACACCGGAACTGCAACTGGGTCTCAGAGTCCAAGCTCCTGGAAGACGATAAGCCCAGTGAACTTGGCAGTTAATCTAGCGGTGGGTTCTGCCCTGCACGTGCAAAGTCCACGTTTGCCCCATAAATCTTTGTCTTCAGAGCTGTTGCCTATACCTTGAGTACCTCATCTCCACCAGTGGAGGCGGGGCGCTTGGGTCACAGCTGCTGTTCTGCGGTGTGGACACAGCCTGAGCGCTGTTCGCTGTGCGCAGCCGTGCCACAGACCCGCCCCAGAAGAGGTGCAAGGTGGTATCCAAACCCCACCAAAGTCAAGGCCCTGTGAGGGGCAGGAGGCAGTTAGGGAGAGAAAGGTGCCATGTTCCATGTTGACTTCCAAACATAGGCAATCTCTTTAGCCCAATACCATCCCCCGACCCTGCCCCTTCATTCTCCCCCCTGAAAGCTGTTTTGTTGGTTGGTTGGTATGTTTGTTGTTTTGGGTTTTTAGTTTGTTTTCCCTAGGGCCCCAGGCCAAGTTAAAGTTTACCAAAGTGAAGGTGTGCCTGGGGAAGTGGTCATATTTTGTATCAGTGTGTGTATGTATCTGTGTATGTGTGTCTGTGTCTCGTGAGCACGTATTTTGAGACCGGATCTCCCTGCAGTCCCAAGATGGTGTGGAACTCTCTATATAAACCAAGCTGGCCTCAATCTCACAGATGTCTGCCTGCCTCTCCCTCCTGAGTGCTGGGATAAAGGCTTGTGCCACCACCCCTGGCTCTATCATTTTACAGGAGGAAAAGGAGCCTGAGCTTTTATTTCATTGGACTGAAAGGCACTGAAATGCCCCTGTGTGAACCAAATGGGTCATACAGTAGGCCTACAGCTCACCTGTCCTGCTGCCTTACAGAGAAGGAAACACCCACCTGGCAGCCTTACGGTTCTTTCCATTGCTCAGGTGATGTTTGGTTAATGAATTCCCGGGCTAACCTGCTTCTACTCTCCTTGAGACTGAACTTTAGATCAAAGCAGGTGGAGCTGACCACCATTTACACTCCCTACCCCCTAGACTCCTGGAACCACACCTTAAGCCATCCAGACCCTTCTAGCCAACTCAGAATGTGCCCAGGGGTAGAGCCTAGAAGAAAGCCAGGGATCTAGACAGCCAGCTTCAGGAGGGCAGGCACTGTCCCAGGCCCTCTACATTTTTAATGACTGATTTGGATGACATGAGTCATCACTTGACCCTGCCTATCTACTGTCTGTCTAAACCACTTTCTTCCCACTTGGAGGGAAACAGGACTCGGTGTCTATGGAGCCTTGGTTAGCAAAGCTTACCTCACCTGGGACAGGACCTTAGGAGAGGGAGGAAGTCAGCAATGATCCCTCTATAATTTCACCTACAAACCCAAAATGTGAAAAGAAAATATAACCTGGGCCACATGAAATTCAGTTTTACTTTATTAGAATCTGTGAAGACAAGAGAGTTTGCAGATACAATCCTGCCTAGTTGTGAATTGCTGCAAAATTCTGTGGTTTGGATCTATCTTACAGTGCTCAAGACTCCTGATGGCTGAGATCTTAGAATATTGTTCCACATTTCAAGCAGATGAGCGGTGTTAGAGACATTATGGCCAACAACTTTTACACTAGCCATCCATGTAAGCCAGTCCCCTGCATACATATGCAGCTTAATCATGGCCATTACATCGCTACAATGAGAAATTCGATCTTCATCTAATAATGCATTTTGACTCCTGTTTATATTGGTGCATGCGATTCCTTGCTACCCTGGCAATTGACCAGACCTGGACTCTAAAAGCTAAACTTGGTCTAAATAACATTCTAAGAGTGGGGCAGGCTGTCATCTGGACTCAGTCATCACTCTGCACAACTCTCCTGTGGCAGTGGCTCTTTCCTACTGTATGCCTGTGCCTGTCACTCAGCATTTATGAACCCCTGCTCTGTACAGATAAGGTGATTAGGAATCTAGATAATATATGCAAAGAACAAATAACTGGTCAAGACCATAGACCTAGAAACGTCCCAAGATTAGGAAATGTGTTCCAAGTGACATATCCAGTGTTGTTACTCAAGATTATTTCAGTGGAAGGTAGGGATAGACTCAAGGGGGGCTTTGTTTAAGGAGTTTGACTACTGGGGCTGTATCTCTGGGGCCAGAAGAAAGTCCAGTAAAATTATCACCCCTTCTCTACAGTTTGCTAATATGGCAGACTTCTATTAGCTCATTTAAGTGAAATAGGAGGCACAGAGCTATCCTAAGTGTGAGGTGAGAAGCGCTTTACCTTAGCAAGGAAAAGAAGGGCTTGACTTTATTGCTCCCACTTACACTCAACCCACAGAAAAGAAAACATTGGTTTATGTACCATTTGGTTCCTTCCTTTGACCCTGAATTACTGAAAACACCATACATAGTGCACCATGCTTTGTCCTCAGAGTGACTGCTTTACCCCGCAATGGGAGGCTAACAATCCTGCCGGATGCCAAGCATTTTGGTAGGCTTTTTTTTACAGTCATGTTGCTTACAAAACCAGACGATCAGCTCTCCAAGTCTGGACAGGAGAATTGATTTACATAGAACCTATGCATTTTTGCGAAGCGTGTGCATGTGGAAGGGTCTGATGAAGCTGTTGATCCGGGTGGTCCATGTGATCAGAAGAGTACTCTGACCCAAGGCACCTCTGTCTATTGCTCAGTCTTGCGTACACTGTCCTCTGCTGCTTGGTATTGGCACAAGTCAGTGATCAGTGAGAGCAATTAAGAAATGAAGCAGCTTATGGGCAGCAAAATCAACCAAAATTAAGAGCATTTTCCTTTTCAAATAAGAGAAGCACACTGTAGAAATAAAGATTCTGTACAAGATTCTAATCATGTATATACATAAAATTATGTTCATTATAACAAAATTGAAAGTCTTTGTAGACCATGGCTGACCACACCAAAGAGAGAGCCATGGCATCATGCTTCTGAAACAGAGAAGGCAAGAGAGCCCTAGCAAACACACCTTGACACCTGGATACGATTTCCTGCAACTCACTTTGGGGCTTGAATTCTCTCGTTCTATGGTTTGATAGCAGTTCACATTCTAGCAGGGAATTCTGCAGCAGGCAGTGTGAAAAAGAAGAGTTCAGTTGGAATTGGAAATGCTATTTAAAATCTGCATATTGGCTAATGATAATGGGTTTGTGGATCCAATTTGCATTTGCTGTCCCTTTCCTCATTCTCCATTCATCCATTCATCCATTCATTCATTCATTATACACGCCTCCAGTGATCTGAGATCAGAATGAATCCCAGCAGGTGGGAAAGGCAGCTTTGAACAGATCAGATGGACTGAGTCAGGTTCTTGATTCTTTATCCTCAGTTGGCTCCTGAATGTTGGGGGGAGACTGGCTTTGTACAGAGGAAAGGAGAGAACACAGAACCACTGGCTGGCTCCGCGGGCAGCTCCATTCCTGGGGTTCCTTCTGTGCCATCTTTTCCCTCCCCTGGTCCTTCCTGTGAGGGTTAAAATGCACCCCCCGTGGAGGGGGGCAGGTAGATTTCCAAGTCCACTCACCAAGAGGGCAAGGTATACTTGTCCCCAAGGGAACTCTGACTGGAAGGCTAGAGGCTACAGGCTATAGACACAGCTTCAGGGACAAACCTAAAACTAGAAATTCTCCCATTCCAGCTGATCCCTAATCATACGGGGGTATATGCTAAAATGCAGATCCTGGCCCTCCTCCTCAAGTCAGCTCCAGATAAAAGGGATTGGATCCAGGAACCTGCTCCTGACAAGCACCCAGGCAATTCTGAGGCATGTGAGCCACAGTCCTGCTTTAGAAGAAGTTGGCTTCACTGGCCAAGTCTAGATTTACACACTATTTTTAGGCAAACTGGAAAAGCTTGAGATTTTGACGAAACATTTCATGGACTAGACAAAGCCTCCTTTCATTGAAATCATTGTATTCCTATCAAGATTGGGACAGAACAGCTCAAATTCTTAGGGGAATGAAGAGGCACAGGAAGAAGGGTTGAAATTTGCATGGTTCTCAAGGCAAGGGCCTACTCTGCACTTTTGGGTGACATAACAAGGCAAATGGCAAGTTCATTTTTGCAAACTAAATTCTTACCAAGATGGCCTAGAATTACTTAAGAACTCTGAAGTTGGGATTCATTGTTCTGGGAGTTGTGGTCCCGCTTGCTATAGTTTAAGTACCCCCCCTCCCAGTCAACTGTGGTGCAAAAATACAGTACAGTAAGATACTGTGAGAGACCACATTCATATAATCTTATCAAAGTATGTTTTTATAATTGTTCTATTTCATTTAGCTATTGTTTCTAATCTCTTACTAATTTATTAAACTGATCATTATCATAGGTATGTAAGTGTAGGAAAAAAAACACTAGTATATATAAGGTTTGGTATCATGTATGGTTTGGCATCCACTGGGGACCTCAAAACTGCATCCCTTGTAGATAAAAGGGGACTGCTGTAATTTGGAATAAGTAACTCTTTAGTGTCCTTTTCCATCAAAGAAAGCTTTACCTGCTGGATAACTGAGGTACCAACCCTCTTATTCCCCAAAATCCTAAGGTTAGCCAAGCTGCCATATTCTTTACTGAACCTTCTTGGCATTTAAATTAGATGAGAAGCTAAAAGAGTGCCCAATGTAGGCAGTCTTCTCCCACCAGCTAAAATTGCTCCAAGTTCCCACTGAGTCACCACTTTGAGTCCCATGATGAATGGAAGAAATTAGCTGCAGATGGCTGGCATTTCATATTGACTGCCATCCAAAACAGTTTTAAAAGACCTCAAATGAAGATTCTCTCCTAGCTAAAAGATCTCCCTTCAGATCTTAAAAGATGGCAGTCAGGCATCCTAAGTCCTACCTTACAGGGACCTCTTCAAAGCAAGCTGCTGAAATGAACCGGTTCCCTCGGCAAGAGCTGTTTTCCCACTCTGGTACCTGTATAAGCTAGCTACTCTTCTAGGCTCCTTGAATTCCCTATTCTCAGACCTTAATATTAATTTCTGAGTTTTTTGACTCCAGTGTGCCCTCAAAAAAAAAAAAAAGTCTTTAGTTACTTCTCACCCTGGTTGTTTTCATCTTTCTTTTTGAAATTCAGGTGAGCAATGGCAAGGGTCAAGGTCAGGGATAAAATGGTAAGTAGAACAGTCATGGTTGAGGTCAGCTAATGCAGATGAGTTGAGTCCCAGGGGGCAGGTGGCAGGGAAGGACGGTTAGTAATTTAAGAAGTCGATCCCCACTTTGACGCTCTTTGAGGTGGCTATGTCAATGGCTGTGGCCTTGATCTCAGTGTCCCCAAACTGCATGAGGGTCTGGATTTCCCTGCGGGCAGGCACCGCTGTGCCGCTGGTCCCCGTGAGATCCAAGCGGAGCGTGCCACACTTCTTCACCCCTGGGTCGGTGATAAAACTGACACTGTCATGCTCAGAGCTGTAGATGTTGATAACGATGATGAGCTGGGAGGGCTTGGCTGGAGTATAGCTGCGCTTGACCAGCTCCCCCAGGGCCACGGACTGGTCGGCAGAGATGAACTTGTCGAAGACATCAGTGCACCAGCGTGTGCCATCCTTTACCAGCAGCTTCTCAGGTGGGTGCTTGCCCTCCACAAAGCGGTTCAGCACACCCACCCCGTAGGTGAGCGGGGACCGGCGTACCTTGATGACTGCAGGGTCCAGGCCAAAGAGGACAGCACCCTTGAGGATGGTGAGGCCCACGTCCTGGGGGATGATGATCCGGCACTTGTCACCAAAGGCAGCCTGCACTGCCTGCTGCAGGAGAGGTGCCTCTGCAAAGCCCCCCACCAGGAAGAGGAACTTGACTGTGGATACCTCAGGCTTCTGAAACAGGTCCCCTGAAAGGGAAGAGGAAGGAAGATCAGGTCACTAAAAGCAAGCAAGCAAGTAGTACTGGGCTGCCTGAGCCTATGGGAGTCTGCTAAACTGTGAGCATCGGCTGAAGGCTGGCTTGGCGTGGACTCATTGGACTGAATTTTTGTGGAGCTGGTGGTTTGAAGGAAAGGAGTTTACACATCGTACGCTTAGGAATAAAGGCCAGAGCTGCTGCCAAGTAGAAGCCCAATTTATCAGAAGTGGTAATGTTTGTCATTAGAATTCCTTCCTCATAAGAATATTAGCTCTCTGAATCTATGGTTCTGGTAAGCCCACACTGTTATCTTTCACAAAAGTAGGTGAGGGATACATAAAGGATGTGTTGAAATCCTGAAAAAAAGTCCCTGTTAGGATGACAACATGGACAGACTGTCTTCTTGTTGGAAACCTTCTTTTGGTTCATACAACAGTTCCTTCTCCCCTAGCAGGGTAACGATTCCTAAATTTTCTTGATACTTCAAACAAGACACAGTCCCTAGGGCCTGTCACTCTGGGGTAAAATGGCTTCAGAGATTCCCGATCTCTGACCTTTGCCAAAGTGAAGTCCAGGTAAGGACAAGTTCTTGTAGTACCAGAGAGGCAGAATACGGAGCCTATGAGCAGCAACCTCCCTCAGATGTGCCTGCCCAAGCCTTGCCCACTCCTGTGGGCTCCAGCCTGTAGCTCTCAGACCTAGATCCACTACCAACTGGGCTGTATGAATACTGCTCTTTGCTCTGTCCCAGCAAGTGGCCAAGACCTGGCTGATACTCACGGAGGTGCTCAATGATGCTGTCTATGGTTGGCTTAAAGAGGGCGTTCATGGCATCTGGACTCATCCTCAGCATCCCCTGGGAGGACCACTTCACAAAATCCACACTGGAAATAGCATCAAGAGGGACAAGCAGTAAGTTGAGGGCACAACACCCAGGTTTATCCACACATATATGTTCTGGAAAACATTTATCACATCATGGGCTAAAGGAGTTCACAAAGTCAAAAGCATCCTTGGAAATCCCCTAAACTGCCAAGACTTGGACTCTCAGAAGTTCAAGAACTAAGACATAACCTCATCTGTTTCTTTTTACTGCTGCCAAACGTCCCCTGGGAAAATGAAGGCTAAAGTCCAGTGAGGAGACAAAGACACCCAGGACGTCTGCTTTTGGAGGACCACACTGTTACCAATGATGGTTGAATGCAAGCATGCTAAAGGCCCAGAGGATATGTGTGCTGTACTGCTGTAAATGCTGTAGAACTGCTCAGGGGCATCCCTCCAGCCCTCCAGCCCCCTGCAGCATCATAGAGATAACCCTAATCTTCTAGGGTCTCTAGCTAAGACACAGCATGCCCAGAAGCAGCAGTGGAACAGAAAGAGCACCGAATAGGGACCTGGGGAGGCTGGGCTTCTGTGTGGCCCCATCACTTAGCAGTTGTGAACTCTGGCCATGTTGGCCTCCATCTTCCCTGAGCTCGGTCTTCTCAGCTGGGAGCCAAGGATAACAGGTCTCACCTTAACTTCCCTCCCAGGAGAGGTTGTGCAGATTGAGTTAGGTGTCGTATGTGAAAACACTTAAAAGTTTTAGGCACTAAACCAATGAGGCCAGGAACTATCAGTTATCCAAACCCACAGGAGAGATCCCATCTGCTTTGAGGGTCAGGGATCATGCAAATGGTGCTTCAGTCTCTGAGGCAAAGCACACACTGCTGCTTCCCAGCAACTTATTTGGATGCTGCCAGGCTTTCTCAGCCAGGACATCCTTCCATGGTACAGAACAAAGGGCAATGTGGTAGGCGATGGGATGACCCAATGGCTAGCTGTAGCAAGTTTCCTCATTGGGAGGGTTGGCAGACTCCAGGAATTGGACATTTAGGAAGCCAGAGGGCTGGTGTTCTATGCAATGAACAAGTGGGGCAGAGAGAACATCAGCCCAGTAAGACAGCCTGCTATGGCCCTCTGCAGAGGGAAAAAACAAACAAATCATAATCAAATCTATTTTGTTTCCTACTAAAAGGAACCAAGTCAGGTGTGGTAGTACATGGCTTTAGTCCAAGCACTCAAGAGGCAAAGGCAGGCAGATCTCTGTGAGTTCAAGGCCAGTGTGGTCTACATACTGAGTTCTAGGTCAGCTGGGGCTACAGGGAGACCCTGTCTCAAAAAGACAAAAGACCAAAGAAGGAAAAAAAGAGAGCAGAAGGTGTCAAAGACTCTTGCTGTGTCAGAGACTCAGAGCCAAGTGAAGGAGGCTCCTGCAGTCCAACATGAAACGAATGAGCATCAATAAGGTCAGAATTACTATGGTTTAAAACATATTAAACATGCTTAAATCCATGTTTCCTACAAAATGAAACTCATTACTACTTTGGAGACTGCTAGGATCGGAGGGAAAAATAAATAGAAAAGGAGTGATGTAAGCTAATAACCATGGAGCTACCCCAGGGAAGTGTGGACCTAGGTAGTGATCATCAGTGGCTGCTGACATCACAAGAGACATGCAGACCTCGCATGTATCCTGATGTGAGGTATTAAACCTCATAGCTTCTGTGACTCTCTGCATAAGATTAGCATAGAAAATGGGCCTCTCAATATCCTGTCATGGAGGAAGACGGGACTCATGAGACCCAAGCCTTCCCTGAGGACTGATAGGCAGCTAATGGTTGCTGAGAGTGATAAGACGTTTTTCATAGTCATAGTGTAGTCATTGGTGAGGTTCCCATGCTCCTGCAAATAACCCCTCACCCATGTTCCTGTAGGCAGGCCACCCTAATGAAACTGGGTCACATACACGCATAGCATGAAAGTAGAAGACGGACTAGCTGGGAAGAGGAAGGGGATCTGAATGGGAAGAGGACATGAGAGGGAATACCAAGGGGTGACTGTGATCAAAATATACTAATGTGTGTGGAAATGTCATAATGAAACCTGTTGTGTACAATTATTATATGATAATAAAAAACATAAAAAAATACTGCCACCCATTAAGATTTGCCAAAAAAATCAAACTTGAATTTGATTACGGCGGGAAGTCAATCTGTCTGTTTGCAAGAGCCCAGCAGGGGACAGAAGAACAGATCATGGAACCCACAGGCATGCTGTGAGCAAAACGGAGACAGGGAGACTGGGGGTGGTCATCCAGGCTGCCATCTATTACACTGTGATAGGCAAGTTATCCTGAATGTAGTGACCATTTCACTCTGGATATGGATATAAAAAATTATTTTTAAGACAGGATCTTGTTGGGGCTGGAGAGATGGCTCAGGAGTTAGGAGCACTGGCTGTTCTTACAGAGGACTTAGGTTCAGTTCCCACCACCTACACGGCAGCTAACAGCTGCCCTTAACTCTAGTTCCAAGAAATCTGACGCCCTCTTCTGGCCTCTACGGGAAGGAGACACAAACACAGTGCACTTACATATGTGTAGGCAAAACAATGTACATACTGTACTTATATACATGTAGGCAAAACACTCACATGAAAATAAAATCTTTAAAAAGGTAAAAAGACAGGGTCTTGCTATATAGCCCAAGCTACCCTTGAACTCAAGACACCCTTGTCTCAGCTTCCCTTTTGCTGAATTAGAGGCATGTATCATCACACATGGCTCAAATAATCAGAAACTCATGATTATTTTCTATCTATTTTAAAGTTCAGCATTAATTTGTCTTCCAGATGTATTCATTTTGCAGCAAAGTGAACTGAAAACACAAGGGATTCAGAGAAGCAGGAAACTAATTCCCATGGGATTTACTCTATAAACATCTATTCAAATGAACAAAGCTCTCTTCTAGACACTATCATAGCAGTGGCCCAAACAAAACCAACCTGTTTTCACAAAGCTATTGTTTTTGAGTAAATATAGCAGCTGTCACATAGATCACACTTGCTATGACTCAGGTATCGTGCTAAGCACCTATCAGACATGAATTCATTTCATCTGCACACTAATACTTTGAGGTAAGTAGAATTATTACCCCCATTTTCCATACTAAAAATAAACTGAGGCATACATAAATTGAGTCACTTGAAGTGTGTAGGATTAGAACTCACAGTCCACACCAGCTTCCTCCCTCCCATCCACAGTCTACCCCCAGCCTGACTCACTTGCTCTTCCTCAAGGCATGCTCCACACTGTGCCCTCGGAACTTCTTGTAGTAATCGATGAAGGAGAAGGGCAGAGTGATATTCAGAGGGTTTGTTCTGTCTGGTGCGGCAGCTCTTTTGCGAGACTCAAATGCAATCATTAAGTCTACCCAGGCTGCTGGGCGTTTGATCTTGAACTGTTCAATAAAATCCTCTCCAAATATTTTACAAAGTAGTTTTTCAAATTCATAATCTACTCCCAGAGATCCATAGGGTCCACCTGAGTAGAGAACAAAACTGTATGTTAAAAACCATCAGACTGAAACCAAATTCTGATAAGCAGGCCTTCCCTGTGTTCTTTGCAGCATGAAGACACATAGACTCGGACCCACTTATGGTTAAACGTTTCCACTCAAACCTCAACACTCCATTCTTATTCCATGGGGAATCATGTATCAACAGTTTAGATCAATTATATTTTAAAGAAGATCAATACACCTAAGTAACTGCAAGCATCACACTATACCCACCCAGGAAACCCAAAGGCAGGGTCTAGAAAAATCAGCGGGCTTCCATTAGGCCTTGTGTGGTCTGCTCATCATTATCCCACCAGGCCTCTGTTCTCCGTCACTCATATCCCTTGCTTTGGTGAGCTTGGTCTCAGTGTAGGTGCCCTAAGACCTAGAATGCTGGTCTTAGATCTCAGTCAGAGGTGACATCTCTTGCAGAACTTTCAGAAAAAGAGTCCCTTGGCCAATTTGATGCCTGAACTCAAGTGCTGGTGGTTTGTGTTTGAAAGGACCTTTAAATGCATTTTGCTTCCCAATTGCACATAGACAAGAGGGCCCTCTACCACCCACAGCCCATATACACTGAGAGAAATTGGAAATGAGTGAATTGGAAATGGCTGAGGGTTGTGAAGGCTTGCTAGCCAGGCAGTGGCTCACCTGTTGCTTTATACAGTTCCTTAAGGTGTCCCTCTGGTAACCGTATCTGATGGACTGTCAGGTCTACAGTGCCTCCGCCACTGTCTACAACCACATATTTGTCACCTGGTATAAAAGACAACAATCTTCTGGATGGAACATGTATCTGCTCCACCATGAACAAGCTGGTGTGCAATCGCTTATACCCACCTATGTACCACCAACACCCTCCCCTCATTAACACAGCGGTTTTGCTAGTTATTAGCAGCATAGCAAGTCATTCATAGTTGAAGAGATGCAATCATGCTTGTCCATGGGCAGGCAGACATGAATGATGAGCCCAGGTGAGTGAAACTTGAAGACCAAAGTAACTGTGTCACACAGTGTTGTATCCCTGCTGCTGATGCCCATGACCTCCTGTTCATGGAAGCACAAGACTTCCTCCAGGACTGGGGAGCTCCAATGCCTGCCTTCCTTGGGAAGAGTCCATCTAGATGGTTCTCTAGCATTCAAAATGGAGGCCCCCAAAGGGCTCTCCCTGAGGGAGTGGCTTTTAAAGCCCACTGCTACTGAACATTTTCCCAAAGTGCAAAAGGAATAAACGAGCAAATGCATTTTTTGGCAGCAATGAAATAAAATTAAGAATTGAGCAAGGGCAAAAGACATTGAAAAACGCTACCTTCCTCCAACTCCGACCAGATTTCTCCTATGACATTCTCCACCAAAAAGGTCCGACTCTGCCGGTTCCGCCGCACATGTTCTTTAGCTAGTGGCAGACAGAAAGAAAACAGCGATGAGTAAGAAAGCATGGAAAAGCGATAGTCATCTGCAGTCAGTGGAGTCAACAGCACGACCAGGTTTAGGGATGGAACATTTCCTGACACTCGATCAAAAGGATTAAAAAACACAGCATTAAAAACCACAGAGTCAGCTCTTCTGAGAGAAAGTGGGTCTTCCACCAGCCCTGGTCTTTGGCCTGTGCCCAGCTGGAAAGCCCACCCGATGAGATTCTTGCCTCTGGTAACATTCTTTGTGGGACTGGGTTAATAAAAATGGGCCAGATTCCCAGCTTTGCTGCCCCAGGGAGGAGGCTCTATGCCAAGCAGTTAAACAGTTTCACATCAACGAACTTTGGAATGCTGGGTATGTTTTCCTAATCTGGATCTCTGGGATGGATAAATGGATTGAGAACCATTTCCTGATGCTATTGAAGACAATGTGATCTTTGGCCACAAGGTGGCGCATTGGCCACAAGGTAGCATCGGAACGTGGCAAAGTCCAACACTGCCATGGCTCAGAGGCCCTGAACAGCATGGGCCTGTCTTCTGTCCCGACCTGTGGCTTTCTTGAACTGCTGAATGGCTGGGACATCTGTGGGGCAGAGAGGGCACAAGCTACTGCCCTACATTCAGAGGAGGAAACCCAGTTCGGTTCTTATAGTTCCCAGGATTCTTGGTTGGCAGCCTAAAATGAATCCTCAGGCCAGAGACCCTCACAACTTTGAGGTACAATACTTTGCAAGCTTGAAGAAGCAGAGGAATGGGACAGTTAGGGCCAAGAAAGGTATGCAAAAGAGTACTTGGAAACAGCAGACCATAGCCAAGGTGGGTGTTTGGACCAATTGCCTAAACCCTTTGGATCTCAGTTTCTTTATTCATAAAATGAGGATCTGGCTAGTTGATCTAAGTTCCAAATGGGCAGAGAAGGGACTGCTTCCTGTGTACCTGGAGTGACAGCCTGTGCACAGTAGGCGATAACAAGGCAGAATACCTACTATGAGTCCTGGTGTTCAACGAATGACAGCTGCTATGAGTGATTTATTAAAGCAGACCTATCTATCCAGCATCTCACCGTCCCTGTCACTGTGCCTCGGTTGTTTAAGTCCCCAAACTGGCTACTGCCTTTGAAATGTCCTGCAAATCCCTAGTTGCTGGTTATCCAGCCAAGCACCCTGGACCCTCTAGCTTCTTTCTACAAAGAACAGTGTTTGCAAAACAACTTCTCTGGGGATTTGACAGGCAAACCCCCAGCCAGCACCAAGTTCTTCAGAGCTTGGGTTAGAGTGGTCAGGGAGGCACCCCAGGAGGGCTCCCCAAACTGGGGCTTCACTTCTGTTTCTCCCACTGGCTCCGGATGTACTGTGTTGGAGTAGAGGTACAGTTTAGTTTGCCTAACATGCACAGGGCCGAGTTCAATCCTGAGCACAGCATAACCAAAACAAGAAATGAGCTATGCTGCAGACCTTGCAGTAGGGATCTGGTTTTCTCAAACTATCTAGATGGCCACTCATAAAAACCATGTGAATGGCATTTATAAACAGCACCTGAGTGAGACAGTCAGCCTATGTTCCTGAGATGGACAGAACTCATTCCCAATTCTCAAAGAATTATCTCAATTTTCAAGCAGATTAAGCCCAAGATTAGACACAAATGTATCTTTTATTGATCCCATGAAATCCTTCAGGAGTGAAATAATGCCTGCAGGGCTAAGGGTCCACCAGCTCCACAAACCCCACAAGCTTGTCAGATGTCCTGAAAAGAGCTCCCCCGGGGTCCCTTCAGCACCCTCTCCTCTGGGAGAGTTGTTCCAATTGTAATACAAAGCTGACAGCAGACACACAAACACACACACACACACACACACACACACACACACATACACACACACACCCCTCACTCACTACCCCTTCAAGGCATAGTGGCCAACAATTGGAGGATTCCAAAACAAAAAGGAAAGGCCCTTGTGAGCACACACAGACAGCAACAAATTCTACAAGCCACAGGACAGACATGGGCACACAGCAGTATGGAGATGTGACAGATTTAAAGGAAAGGTGACTAGAACTGAACTGAGCTCCTGAAGAAGGTCTTGTTCAAAATCAGATTCCCCTGAAGCCTGAGGGCTATACTTATCCAGTGTGTAACAGATCCTGATATTTACTAATTTCTGTTTATGAAGTAAAAATTAGCATGTAAGACACAAACTTAGCCTTTTTTTCCCAATGACACTGTGTGTGTATAACACTGTTTGAAATTTGATTTTTTTTTTTTGAGACAGAGTCTCCCTGCAATCCCAGCTGGCCTAGAACTCACTGCGTAGACCAGGCTGGCCTCCATCGCACAGAGATCCACCTGCCTCTGCCTCCTAGTGCTGGATTAAAGTCATGTACCCTATTTGAAATGTTAATGTGTATGAGTTCTTTGGCAGTAAGACCAGCTCTGGTATCCTGTGGATACCAGAGTCTATTAAAAGGGATAAGGTCTAACTCAGCTCTCAGGCTTAAAGAGAAGCCTCTTTCCATTCATTCTGGGTAAATCAGATCTAAGGTATAAACACATAGGCCCCTGGCAAACTGAGATTACCATTGCCTGGTAGCTGATGTTTATAGACAGCCAACTATAGGGATTAAAATGAAAAAGGGACAGTTATCCACATGAAGAAGGAGGAGGAAAGGTCAGAAGAAAGCCCCAGTATTCCCAGGGTGGGAATGTGCATCTACTCAAGGTGTGCCTGGACCAGGTCCCGGGGAGGGCAGACTCAGGCTTTTGGTGTGAGGACCAAGGAAAAGGTGGACCAAAGTTTGGTCAAGGCAATCCTCACTGGTGTTCCTCCTCCTCCTCCTGGACCTGAGACCTTCCAGGGCAGCTTGGAGGTGCCCACAGGTAGCAGGTGCATTTCTGCCTACCATATCCTCACAGAGCTCAGAGATGTGAAGCATAGCACTGCCCACCCCCCAACACACACAATATTCCCATTAACATCTATTCTCATGGGGATGCTTTGACCCTAACCACACCAGTCTAAAAACCTTGAAGCCCTGGATAGACCCTCAGAGCCTGGACAGAGGGCAAATAATTCTAGCGACTAAGACTGTGACCAACCTTTCTGCAGGTAACTATTAAAGAGGAAAACTCCTCAAAATGCTCAAGCTGGGCCTAGCTAAGCAAGTGCTCCTTCCCACAGCTAAGTGCACATCTCTCAGATCAGGACAAGTCAGCCCATTTGGTATGTACTAGAGATTGTGCTAAAGCACATAATGAGCTCATCACACACAAAGCAGCCTAGTGAGTAAGTCAGCTGTAAGTCAACAGTCTTAATGGAGGAATTAATAATGAGCAAATTGGATTAGACTAAGACCAAGTTAATAAGCGAAAAAGATTCAGATTGTAGTAAAATATAAGGATAAGAACTGTGCTCAGGGCACCCTCAGGTTCTCGGGGAGATACCCCTCAGAGGGTGATGAGTCAGGGTAACTAATGCTTAGTTTATGGGGTGGCCTGAAGAGCCAGGTAGGAAGACCCAGCAAAGAGGGGCTTAAGACTTGATTCCCCTGGAGTAGCCTGATCCTTTACAGCACAAGATGCCTTTAGTATCATCCAGGTTGAGTAATGTCTAGGAGTGGGGAGGGAAGAGTGGAGGGAGGGAGAGAGAGAGCAGAGGTACCCTGTGCAAACCCCGCTCCTACTGTGTCACTGGCGCTGTACCCATTGACCGCCGCCTTGCTGCTGAGCTCGATCATTTGGTGTAGCCGCAGCTTCCGGCAGTAGATGGAGGCAGCCTCGGGCTCCAGGGCAATAATGAGCTGCTCCGAGTTCTCAGGGGAGGCCAGGCCCGCCTGGAAGACAGAGACAAATGTTGGGACTTAGGGCTCACACTTGGAGTGTGGTTGACACCCCCAAGGTTTGTTCAGGGAGACATTCCCTCCAAAGGCCTCTGCAGAGCTTAACACTGGAAATGACTGTACACTAAGCTCCTAGACATCTCAGCATAAGCGAAGCACCCTTGGGAAACGCAAGGTGCTCTAGCGATGGGGTCTCTTGCCCTTGGGGCTTACTCTGGTCAGAACTGAAAAGCACCATGGAAGGGGCAGGGGGAGAATGAACTGTGAGTAAAGATGAGGTTCAACACACAAGTAGGGGGCAACAGAGTTGCAGTTGTCACCAAATTTTGAAAACCACCACAGGTAGAAGGCAGACGGATCCATTCCTGTGACAATGGACCACACCATCTGACCGAGGCTGAATAGATCCCACTCTTGGTGAACCACAGTGAGGCAAATGTATGACTTCCCTCCTGATGTCACCAGAGCACTGGGAGGGCTCCTGCCACTTGCCTACCAGTGTGACATATGAGCAGTGGCTCCCAGGAGGAATCCTCCTTCATGTTCTACAGCCAGGGCACACAGTCAGCTGACAGTTTTACCCAAAGCCTTTATTCTTCATAGCTTGCCATATACTAATTCTTCCTTTGGCGACAGCATCTCACGTATCCCAATAGTCAAAGATGATTTTGAGTAATGTCTAGGGATCCTCCTACCTCTACTTCCTGAGTGCTACACTGGGATTTCAAGTGTGTGAAACCAAGTCTTGTTTATGTGGTGCTAGAAATTGAAGTCAAGGTTTTGTGCATGCTACATAAGCATTCTACAAACTGAGCTGTATCCCAGCTCCTACATATTCTTCATATTATCACAGTTTGATCCCTGAGTTCCTGTCTTGATCCCCTATCTGCCTTTGTTGACAAAAGGCAGAAATGCTTCTGTTTCATGACATGTGGCTAGTCCCAGTCATGACCCCTCCAGTCCCTGGAGGTCCCAAAAGAGTGTGCTCAGAAAAGTGAGACTTGGCCTGTAACCAGGTCCTTGGCTATTTCCTAGGGCTCCAGGCTGAAGCAGGAGGTCTCACTGCAGGGGCTGTGGTTGGTGCACAGGGTTTCCTTGGCCACCAGCAGCATGAATCATTCCCACCACCACGGTGCTGCTTTGTTGCTGCTTCCCAGAAAAGCTGGGGAGCTGTCTGCATGGCACACCCACTTGGAGAAAACTCCCCACCTCCATCTCCACTCTATACCATTGGTTTAGTGGACAGAAGGTCCCCTAATGACCACATATGCACAGATAACCTCTCAGCAAGAAGAGCAACTGAGAGGAACTTAGGTGTTCCATTGGCAAGGGGGGCAGGGGGGATGGGGAACAACTCAGGTTAGAATACTGGAAATCTTCAGAGCCTTTTGTCTATCTACTGCACTCCATGTAGAAAGATGCCAAGGCCCAGAAAGAGGGTGACTAACTGTCCTAGTTTGCCTGGGACAGAAGGATCTCCTGAAAAAGGTGACTTGCAGTGCTAAACACAGTGCAGTCTTGCTCCTAAGTATCTAACATTAGCACAGATGAAAACTTGAGTTCTGCAAGCCAAGTTCTTTAAATTATTCCACCTGTCCTGCCTGGAGTGCCTTGCAGCTATAGGGATGATGAGGCCTGTACCTGACCCTTTGACAAAACTCCTTCCTCCACAGGTTTCAGGACACCATCTCTTGACCCATTGGGTGGGAAGAGTATAAGATACACTGCCCAAGTTCTTTATGGCAACCACCATCCCCAAATCATCAATTAACCCCTAAATTATAGATACTAGCAACAGGCAGAAGGAAAACCTTCACTTTGCAAACTATAAGCCCCTCAAGGAGCAGAATCCCTCTAGGAAGCCTGGCTTTATAAAACCACACCCATGCCCTGAACCAGTCACAAGGTACCCTATTGCTTAGTACCCTCAGCTACAGCCAAACCACACGGCAACAGTGGTGCTCTTTAACCTGGTCCATGGGACAAATACACTGGCCTGTCCTTAAGTGGCTCAGGCACGAAGGACCTTCTACTACTCCCAGTTCAAGCAATTACAAGTCCCTCTATTCTAGTTTCACCTTCTCCCCAGGTCAGACCATATGTCCTCAGCACAAAGACAGCTGAAAGTTCAAAGTCCCAGTGAAATAGGACGGTCAAACATCTGACAGGCCAGGTGACTCTAAGAGCCTGAGTCCTGGGGTTTCTGGAAGAAGAACAAAGGACAAAGCATGGCAGAGCAGAGGCCCCTTCTAAAAGACAGCTCCTGTGCTGCAATCCAGGCCTGGGTTTGTAGCATCAAGAACTGGAAGAACAGCTCAAAAGAAGGTACCTCCTATCTGGCATTGTTGCTTGTTATGTAGACTTTAGCTATGCATATGGACTCTTAAGAAATTATATTCTTT